GATCACCTTTTTGAAGAGATGATGCTCTGTACAAATCGAAATTTGTATATTATATATACAGCGACAATCAAACAGTCGAAAATTGGTCAGAAAAGTGACGTCACCACTGTTGCTATGGCAACAATGACGATTCAACATGGCCGATATTTTGGCTTTGAACGCGTTCTACTTTAAAAAAAGGTCGGTTACCCCCATTTTTTATTTCAGAAAACATTTTCTTATAGCACAATACACTATCTGACCAATTTTAAAAAAATTCTGTAATGCCAAATTTTTAAAAAATTTATAAACATGGTTTTTCGAAATAAATTTTTTTGCGTTACAGAATTTTTTTAAATTGGTCAGATAGTGCATTGCACTATAAGAAAATGTTTTCTGAAATAAAAAATGGGGGTAACCGACCTTTTTTAAAAGTAAAATGCGTTCAAAGCCAAAATATCGGCCATCTTGAATCGTCATTGTTGCCATAGCAACAGTGGTAACGTTACTTTTCTGACCAATTTTCGACTGTTTGATTGTCGCTGTATATATAATATACAAATTTCGATTTGTAAAGAGCATCATCCAGTTTACAAGGTTTTAAAAGGTGATCTAGTTTACGCATTTTCAACATTTCTATAAACTGTAGCGAGCCACCTTAACTTCTAAAGATCGTAAATCGCTATAATGTTCATGTTGACATTTTACTAAAACCATACATGGGAATTGTTTCACCAGTCTTAGACAGGTGAAGTCACTTTACCTGTCGAAGACTGCAGACTGGCAGTCGAAAGCTCGTGTTTTAAATAGAAATTTACGATCAGAGAACGTTTCAGAAACTTTATAAACCGAAAAACGTTGAACTCCATTTATATTAATTGTATTCTTTCGTTAGTTTCGTATACAGACCACAGAATAAAGACCTATACTATGATACAGACCGCCACTGGGGCATACTAAAAAAGTTAAAACGGCTTGAGATTTTACAGTGTAATATATCAAGTTGTACTCTTTATTACAATCTGCATGTGTTTCTGTACAGTAAGTTTAAATTGTATATTACCCGCTAACTAATTCAGTTGTTTGGAATTGTTTCATGCGGCAATAAATATATATATATATATATATATATATATATATATATATATATATATATATATACAGTATAGTAATAATATAACTGCAATAAATATAACTGTAAAAAGTCAACAAAGATGCAAAATACATGACACTTTGATCTCGACAATGCTGCAATTCCGAAGCTTTGCGTTCCTCGGTTTTACGAACGGGAAGTGTAGTCTATGGAAGCTTGTCAATCACTTCATTTGAACCAGTTATCAACCAATCAAAGCTCTGCGTCCAAATATTGAACGCATGCACGTAAATATCATAGAGATCCTTGCAGGCTCTTTTTCACCCAGAGAGCTATGCTCAGAGGAACTCCTCGAAGTTAGAAAATAAACTGGTCAACATTTTTCGGAACTCTTCTATTGGCAGGGCTGTAATTAGTTCGTCATGAAAACATGACGTCATTATATCATTATACATTTGTATTTATATATATCATTAGGGACCGGTCATTAATAATGGGGGGGGGGTTGATAAATACCAAATATTGAACATTTTTTAGAGCTGCCCCCGATCGCAAAACCTTTATTTTCAAGACGCCCCCACCTTCATCTAAAATACTTAGGACTCCCGGGGCCCCACTACAACATTTAATTTGTTACATTTTTTTATGTAAAATAGGTAATGGGCCAAATACTGGTGTAAGACATTGTGTAGCCTAAATAATTAGAGGAATAATTGCTATTTACTCCGACACCTATGGTGAACTGCATATATGTAATAACTATGGAAAGTGGAAACTACGAATTATAAGAACTAAAAATGATGAAATATTTTGTGGGATACGATAAGGACGAGAGAGATTAAAAATGAGTAGGACAGTATTAAAAAATTGGGGTTGCCCCCCGTCACATATTTTTCAGTTTGAGGCCGCCCCCAATTGAGGCAAAATATTTGAAGCCGCCCCCCGTTTCTTATCCACCGCTGCCACCCCGCCCCCCTTCTGCCTATTATTAATGACCGGTCCCTTATATTATATTTTTTGCCAAACCAATCCGTGTTTTTTTATTTCATGCGACAAAATATAATTTTTGTTCACCTTCAGGCAAAATAAACAAAGTCATAACAAAAGGCGCGAAAGTTCCCGCCGTAAACAAATTTACTCATACGTCATTGTTGTATCATTTGATTAGACGAAACATTTTCCCACGGGTAAGAAAAATGTTTCGCCTTTTAGTCTAGGACCTGTATATGAGTTTGTATGCATTTCATTTAGGACAGATAATCTCAACAGTTTTAGGGTAAGTTGACCATGACGGTCAACATGGTAACGCTGCCCGAACCCCAATCCGGGGCGAAACGTCCGAAACTGACCACACCCAAAAACGACGCTTTCGCCATACTGCTATCTACCAAACCATAAGAGCTTTGGCTATTCTGAGGTGCTTATATGGTTCAGAGATGGTACTTTTGGGGGTGGTCATTGGTAAGTGTGAAATGCCAAGCACTAATATTTCACAAGAAAATGGCCATGCAATAATCATAGTTAAATGTCAATTTGTGGCTTGCAAATTCAGATAAACAGCAGTGGACTTACATTACCTTTTTCCCTAAATCTTTTTGATAGAAACATAAATGGTACTTATTTAAATATATTATGACTGGTTTGGTGTAAAATAGTTAATATTTTCTGACCGAAATAATAATTTGAAATGTGCCTACCTCCTGCAAATGGACGTATTTGGCCAAGTTCTCCACTTTACTCCGCTGTTTATTGGCGATCTCGTCGACATCCTACAAAAAATGTAAATCATCTCAGACATAATGGTATCAAGAACATTTTAAACAAGTTTCAGCTTGGTTTCAAGTAGATCATACCTGTTTAACCATCGACAAGGTAAATCCACAACTTTGTCCAAATTCGGCGCCATTTTGTCATCCCATGTCGCTTGTTAACAATTCAGCCTTGTTACTCTTCCATCCAAGCCATTTCCATTCCACTAATAATAAATTTAACCCTTTATAACAGGAGGAAACTAAAAAATCTAAACAAAATATAAGAAATACGCCTTTTTATCACCATGTAAAATTTTGCTCACGAGTCTTTCAAAACATTCCGTACAAATATCGCGTAACAAAGTAACAGGGACGTGACAGGAGAGGGTGAATTATTTCACGAAGATAGAAGAAGGCTGCGTGAAATAGACTAAAAGCTAAATACAATCATACAAATGTTTGTTTTATTTCTTGTAGCGACAAATATATACATATTATTATTTATTAATATGAAAAAGTCATACAAATTAAATGTTGATTGTTGGTTTTACCATACTGTGTGGGCTTTCCTTTCATTTTTCAAGTCTCTACCCCCCCTGTCACGTCCCTGTTGCTAAACCACGCGATATTTGTACGGAATGTTTTGAAAGACTCGTGAGCAAAATTTTACATGGTGATAAAATGGCGTATTTCTTATATTTTGTTTAGATTTTTTAGTTTCCTCCTGTTATAAAGGGTTAAATTTATTATTAGTGGAATGGAAATGGCTTGGATGGAAGAGTAACAAGGCTGAATTGTTAACAAGCGACAAAGTTGTGGATTTACCTTGTCGATGGTTAAACAGGTATGATCTACTTGAAACCAAGTTGAAACTTGTTTAAAATGTTATAATATATATATATTATATAAACATATATATATTACCATGGCATACAGTCAAGTATACGCAATGCGTATTCATGACTGTATGCAGCAGTGGCGGCGCCAGGGGGGCGCTCTTGATCTGATTGTATCGGCCATCAATGAACGTTTTGACCAGCCCAGTTTTAAAGCTTATGCAAAATTAGAAGCACTTCTTCTAAAATCTTTGAAATCAGAAGACATTTCTTATGAAATGGCCTTTGTAAAGGAGGTTTACCATCAGGATATAAAAGTAGAGTTTCTTATCCCACAATTGGAAATTTTCAAAGTATTAATGAAGGAGAAAAAACTAGAATATTTTGCTGAGGTCTTAGACGCTGTGAAAAATTTGGATCACAATACCCAGCAAATGATCAGTGAAGTACTCACCATATGTAAACTCCTATTGGTTAATCCGGCAACCAGCGCAAACTGGTGAAAGATCATTTTCAACCGCACGACGAATAAAAACATGGCTTAGAGCAAATATGTCACAGAGGAGATTCAGTCATCTGGCGATATTAAATACCCACAAAATACGAAGTGACAATATACGGTTATTGGACGTAGCCAATGTATTCGTGTCCAAGAATGACAACAGAAAACGTAACTTTGGTTCATTTACGGAGCAGGATCTCTGTTACAATCTCAACAATAATCTTTAATTAAAGAAATCCAGTAGAATTAGTCAGACTTTTGGACTATAATTCCTTTGGACTATCAGACTTTTTAAAAATGTTACGTTATTCCTTGTTTGTTTCCATTTATTATTTTCTTCTTATGTATTAGTAGGCTAACACCTTCCAGAAAAACATTTCTGAGAAAAGTAAGGGACCGGTCATTATTTATGGCGGGGGGTGGCACCGAAGAGAAATGTTTTTCGTAGCAAAAATTTTGCTGACCCAACCATTAAAAAGTAAAAAAAAATGATTACCCAACCTCAAATATCAATTAAAAAATAAATACCCACCCCTGGCCAAAAAATTTACAAAAGGTACCATTCAGTTGTCACATATGTCCTTTACCACTTCTGTGACATAAGTTTGATAACGGATTGTGAAATTTTCTGCAGTCTAAAGTTTCATGTTGTCTGCACATGTAGCTACTTTCTTTGGAGATCCCATCGGAAATTGATCAAGATAATGACTCTGATTGATATATACTTTTCGTTGTTTCTTTACACATTTAGTAAATCTTAGTATAACACCAAGTTCATCAATTGCTGCTATTTTGCTAGCAAATCCATGTATAATAAACCCGGGTGTTTTGAATCAAACGTGATGCAACCTGGATAGTGGAATAAGTTGATTATTGTAGGCACAGTTTTTTGGCACTTAATAGTCAAAGGTCATGCATAAATAAGAACAGTCTTTAATATTACCGCCTTACGGAAACTTTATATTTAATGTGCTACTCTAGGATCTAGAAGACCCATAGGTCCCATACTCGACTAGCAACATAATCAAGTTAGTTATGTTAATTCATTATATATAGGATCAATGTTAAAGGCAAGGTGGGCTATAAGCTATAATCAGGGACGCCGGAACGATCATAAGGCAAAGGGGGGCGGACCCACAGCAAGGGCACTTGTCTAAAGCGAAACTTCGAAATCTTCCGTTTTTTTGGCCCCCCTGCCCCCCTGCCCCCCCTAGCAAAAGGCAGGGGGGGCAGCCGCCCCCCCCTGCCCCCCCAGTTCCGGCGTCCCTGGCTATAATCATTTGTATGGCTTATAGAAGGCTAATTGCTGCGAATAAATTGAATAATGAATGTAGCACAATATTAAATAGTTGCATGATGACGTCAAAGAAACTAGTCAGACTACATTTGCAAGTTTTGCAACTCTCATCGCTCAAATTCCCCATACCTGAATACAAAATAAACAGTAAACAGTAAACAACGATTACCTTTTACATACCATATATAAAACGGAGTTTTCATCCTTTCTAGAAACTCACTTCCTGAACTTTCGAGCGCAAATGTAATGTATTAAAAATGTATATCATATTCACAGCAGTTAATACCATTAATATATCGCGGGCGCAATACAAAACAAAACACGAGAATTTTAAAATGTTTTGATTTGCAAATAAATAAATAATATTTGATGTCATAAAAATTTTAAAATTTAACTCAACACAAACTGGTAAGTTCATGACATGTATAATTTACTTATATGTTGTTATATTGCAATTCTGTACCCTACTCCTTTGAAAATTGTTTGCAATTGCATATGATGTGAACATGTGGTCATGTATTATAGTTGTGTCATGAATTTAACATTTAACAGTTACATTTTACACAACTTTTAGCCGATTGAAAACCACATAACATAAAACTACATTCCTTTTAATAACAAATTATGAAAATCAACGATTCTTTTGGTAAAAAATTATCTCCTATTATTTTCTCATATTCATGGGCGTACCGGAAGGAAAAAATTAGGGGGGCGGAAAGAAAATTGCCCGACTTTTCGTGATTTTGCCCGACTAGTACCAAAATATTTTTCCAGGAAAAATTTTTTTGGCAATCCCCCCCCCGTCGCCAAAAAAATTTCGGTCAGTGTACCGTTTAAGGGTCAAAAAAATTTTCCGGACATACCAAAATTTTTCGCAGCATCGCATAAATTTTCAAAAAAAACACTAGATTGGCCACAAAATTGACTAAATTTTCGAAAAAATTGACAGAATTTGTCCGATTTATTTTTATAACAAACCAAAATTGCCCGACTGTTAATCGAATATTGCCCGACTGCCGAAAAAACTGGGGGGCTACCGCCCCCCCCCCCCTGCCCCCCGCCCGGTACGCCCATGCTCATATTAGTTTCATGTTACCATAGCGACTATTATTATTTTGAACATGGAGTACTTCATGTTGAATGGAATTTCTATACTTCATCTGTTAAAAAAGGCGAGGGTTTACTGCATGCATGTATTTCTAGTTAGAGATTTGTATTGCAGAATGGCCATTTGGCTGAATAATTCGACTATTTTTCGTAAACGAACGATTCAAATTACAAATCACGGCCGCTGGTTGTAAATTGAAGGTTAGTGAATACATTTCTGTTGGTTATGAGCTATTAAAGAATTGCTACATGCGAAATTTTAACGTATTAATACATGTTGTTTACTTACAAAGTATACAGTACAATATATAATATACTATAGCATGATAGTTTGGTTTATTTATTGGAAAAATTCGATGTCTTCGAAGTAATATTGTAGTAATACGAATGAATGTTAATGCACTTTCATACTGCCACTTTGTACAGTGTTCAATGTCGAGTGCGATCGTGTTTGATATTTTCGCGCTTCGAAATATTCGAACCGCCATTGTTTTGATAGCAAATACGCATGCGCTACTCAGCCAAACTCGCACTGCGCACGCGCACAACCAACGCACATGCTTCGAAGTGGAAACACGCCCGGTTATGCAAAGAAACATGGCTGAAGATATTTATAAAACTCGAATATCCTCATGTTTTATGCATTTTGATGGCGTTACGGAGCAACTTTGCAAAGTTACACGCCAAGGGCTTATTAAGAAATTTCTTGAGTGTAGGTCAAAATGGGCCAAACTTAAATGTCAACAAGCTGAAATAGCTAAGAAATCGTACGAGAACATCGATGACGGATCTGTCAATTCATACATCGAGAAGAACCCTGACACCATTAACTTAGAATGGAACTGTTTCGCATCTACGCCAACCGGGGAGACGCTACTTTGTTTGAAGCAAATCACATTGAAATACCCAAATCTGTTTTCTCTTTCTGCACTAATACTTTATTTTGTAAATAGTCAACTATATAAATCAAGCAAAATTACAGCTATTACAACAACTCAGATATACTGACAATTGAAGGTTGCAGCAAGACTGACTTACAATTCGTGAGGCATAATCTGAGTATCCTTGCCTTTTCCTAAGTTATTATTTTTAAGTTTTTGTTCACTGTATTTAACATAACAAGTTCGCTTTTTTAGTTTCTTTCTTTCCAATTCCGCGAAGCTTCCTCGCCGTTTCACTTCCTCCGTCCCACTCCCCTCTCAACACCGGCGATCGCAATATCTTAACACTCTGCCCCAGTGCGGAAATTAAATCTCTAATTGAGCAACGTCTAACACAATATACTGAAAATACTTTAGGAATGCAAAGAATCCATTGTCACTACAATCATTCTGTTCTAGTTATACTAGTCTACATCAAGTTCTTCTCTGGTGGCTATAAGACACAGCTTGTGGATGGGTCTGTCATATTCTCCTGTTTGCGTCTTCATTCTTACTTTTCTCACAAGGCCGTCGCTTCCGGGATGAACTTCGGTGATAAGTGCCATCTTCCATTGGCATCTTTTATGTTTTGGATCAAGCTCCAGAACCAGGTCCCCTACTTGAACGTTGTCTCTTTTTCGGAACCACTTGTTGCGGGGTAATAGATTGGGTGCAAAATACTTCAACCAGCATTTCCAGAAATCGACGATTCTGTTTTGTGTGCATCGTAAAAGATCTCTTGGGTTGATTCTATCTTCTGGGGTTGGCTGAGGTGGTGAATTATGCTGCCCAAGAAGGATATCATTCGGTGTTACTGGTGTACTCTCCCAAACGCCATCCGAACTGGGATACAAAGGGCGACTATTGATCACGTAGCTGATTTCTGCGAGGAATGTTGACCACTGTTCTGCCGTAAACGCTTGACTCTTGCAGGTAACATTGAAGGCTTGTCGGACGGACTTAATAAGAGACTCGACGACACCGTTCTGATGACTGGTATGAGGCACATTCCACAGCCATTTGAAATCGCACGAGAACTCCTCGGTCAGTACACTCTGGATTCTAGCGTTGTCCCAATTCTTCATTATTTCGTTCAGATAACCTTGTGAACCGACGAAATTAGTACCACAGTCTGACCAACAGACATTGGGATGGTCGCGTAAGCATGCGAAACGGCGAAATGCCAACAAAAATGTCTCTGTGCTTTTATCGGTGACGAGTTCCAGGTGAACTGCTCTGGTCGTCATGCAGGTAAAGATTATCACTTGGGCTTCCTTGAGTGTCTTTCTGTTCATTCTGATCTGCACCGGTCCAAACATGTCCATTGCGGTATTGGAAAATGGTGGCAGTCCGGCCGCGACTCGAAGACTTGGGATTTGGCCCATCAGTTGGTCGAGGGGTTTCTTTCGCAATTTTCTACAGATGATACATCTTCTCGTAAGTTGTTTACACATACTACGTAGACCGATGATCCAGAACCTCTTTCTTGCCTCGTGCATTAAGCTCTTGTAACCGCAATGTCGCCGTTTGTCGTGGAGGTGCTGCAGAAGTAATTTGACCAGTGGGTGGTTGCGTGGTAAGATGATTGGATTTCTCATTTCCTCTGAGAGTGATCTGATCTCTTCCAGGCGTCCGTGTGCTCGTTGAAGGCCATCCTGGTCCGTCCTTGGAAGAAGTTTTTCTTCGAAGTGGGATAGGTCTAGGGAGTCTTGACACAACTTAAAAAGGTATTTTTCTGATATTTGTAGCTCCTGAGCGGTAATAGTCCCTTTTTTCATATTGATCTTTCTTGCATTTTGTGTGAATCGCAATATGTAAGCCAGTGTTCTCCGAACCTTTGAAAATGAAGAACAAGCGGCCATCAAGTGACAAAGAATGGGATTTTCTTTCTTCTCTTCAGTAGCTAAACAGACGTTGACTTCATTAACTTCCTTGTTACAATTGGATGAAAATGATGATTTCTTCTCTTTCATTGTTTCCTGGCATACTGAATTGGATAATATGAGATCTTCGTGGAACTCTGGCCACTGGGCTTCGGGAAACTTCAGGAATGATGGACCTGCCAACCAATTTGCTAATTCGGCTGGTTCGATTCCCCGTGTGAGACCATCAGCTGGATTGCTCTTCGATCTGACATAGCGGAAGCCCTCTGTGCCAATCGTTTCCTGAATTTCAGCAACTCGGCTCGATACGAAAGGCTTGAATTGACGTGGTGGAGTCCTGACCCATGATAATACAGTTGTTGAGTCGATCCAAAAGATTCTTTTAAAGTCCTTCATATTCACGAACTCTAGGGCTTTCCGACATGTGTCGTACATTCTGGAGAGAGCCAAACAACCCAAAAGTTCCAGTCTTGGAATGCTTTTCTTCTTTAGAAGTGCAACGAATGGCTTCACCATGACAGCGACACAACGATAACTTCCATCATCAAGCTCCCAGCGCAGGAAAATAACTCCACCAAACGCCTGCTCTCCCCCGTCCGAAAATCCGTGCACTTCTGGATTGCCCACTGCGTTACTTGGTTTCAGTTTCCGATCGAACTCAAACGTGAGGAGTTGATTCATTGACTCTACATTCTCGATCCACTTCGTCTGAACGCTTGGCGGAAGGATTTCGTCCCAGGAGAAGCCCGCGCTCCAAAGCTCTTGCAGGTCGATCCTAAACGTTATCATAATGGGAGAGACAAGACCGAGTGGATCCCAAAGTTGAGCGAGGAAGGCCAGGCAATTTCTTTTCGAGACTTTGTTTAACTGTCCGATTATTTCCTGTTTCTTGAAGCTAAATCTATCTGCCCGTTTGTCCCACTTGTGACCAAGTAGGTCTGTGAACTGCTCATGATTAGATCGATCGACTACTTCATGGTTAGAGTGCCATGTCTTGATCTGAAATTGTCCTTTACCAAGAACAATGTCGATTTCATCAATGACTCTTTTGGCTTTTTCCGCAGTCGGCTTAGATCCGGCAATATCATCTACGTATGCATGCTCCCGAAGTTCTTTAGATGCGTCTGGGAACTCGGACAATGACGCTTTTGCCAGGGTGTTGATGGAGTTTGCGGCAATGTCAGGGGCTGGTTTGTCGCCAAAGCTTAATCGTAGCCATTGATACACTGTTGGGGTGTCGCTCAGCTTGCTTCTCCATAGGAACCTGTGATAGATTTGATCTTCTGGATGAACCATAATCTGATTGAACATTTTCCGGACATCCCCCGAGTAAGCCACTTCATCCCACCGCCATGCTGTTAGAACGTTCGGCAGTTGATTGATATAGTTGGGACCCTTTTCCAGGCGGTCGTTCAGCGAGAGCCCATCGTATCCTTTGCATGATGAGTCAAAGACAAGCCGCACTTTGGTTGTCTTCTCTGGGGTGAAGACGGCTTGCAGTGGCAAATACCATTCTGCTTGGGTGTGGTTGACATGTTCGGGAGGAACCTTGATGACAAACGCTTGATCCACTAACTTTTTTACTTCTTCGTCGACAACATCAATGCAACCCTTCATTTCGAATGACCTTTCGGCTGACTGCATTCTCTTTACAGCGATGTCGTAGTTACTTTGCTTCGGAGGTCCCTTTCCATTCCACGGCATCTTTACCTGAATCCTTCCATCAACCAGAGTCGTTGATTGAGAGACAGACTTCACAAATTTACTTTCTCGCAATTCACTTTCACTACATGTGCAGAAACGTGTAGGTTTGATTCCTATCTGATCTTGTTGAAGAAGTTGATTGACATTCTCCATGACGCTCGCGTGACTGACATCAACTGACTGTATTTTTGCACCATCGGTATCTTTGGGTCTAGTTAGCCAATAATGTACCATCCAAAGCAGTTTCTCTTGGCAATGGGTTCCCCACATCGACCAGAGATTGTGTGAACATCGACGAAGGCTTCAGCAAGATCAGTCCCGATGAGGAGATCTACAGCACCACCGCAAAGATGTAGCTTTTCGGAGATGGACTTCAGGGGGGGGTAACTTTCTAGGCTGTTTTTCGACACTGTCTTAGCGCTGTTACATGGTTTTTTAACCGTATACACTTGGACAGTTTTCTCGATATCTTCCTCGGTACATGAGACTACGGCGATTTCTAGAATTTCAGAATCTTCTGAACGTTTTTCCCCTCCAGCGAGATTCATGGTGAGGTGAATTTGAGATCCAGTTAATCCCAGTTTCATAGCCGCTTTCTTTGAGAGTAGGCTGGTATTTGATCCAGTGTCTAGCAATGCTAGCATTTCCATGAAATTTCCATCGGCATCCTTCACTTTTACTTTCTGAATGGGGCAGAGACCGATCCCATGCTTGATCCCTTCAATGTTATGGTTCTGAGAGATAGCTCGTTCCTGTACGGAAAATGGTACTGCACTTGGATCCAAAGGTGGGACACTGTTTCTTTCATTGTGCAAAGACTTGTGGTGGTTCTTTTTGCACTTGTCGCAGGAGGTGCCATCTGGCTTCTTACAATCTCTTGTATGGTGCGATGCTCTCAAGCACTTGCGACATCTCTTATTTTGCTGAACAATGTCCCAACGTTGGTTTACCGTTAGCTTCTTGTAAATTGGACAGGCAGCAAGAAGATGTTCTTCTGGGCAATCGAAGGGGCAGGTTGCATCTTTAGGAATTTCAGTAGCTAGGTTACGGGTGTCTAACTTTCTGAAGGGTCCCACACGTCGACTTTGTTCTGCACTCTCGTTATCATATTCAAGCTTGCCCCTGGAACGAAGAGCTGCTTCTTCGTACAGCCATTCGACAAGATTTTCCATTTGTATGTGTTCAGGACAATGCTGTAGTGTTCTCAATTGTCTAGGTTTTTCATATATTTTCCTTTGAATGTTTGATACGGCGATGGGTTATTCACACAGGAATTGTTTGAACAAGAAGTTCAACGGGAATCGAACTGTAATTTTCATGTGATTCTCTCTCATTTTCTTTAGAATTTACTTTGTGTGTAAATTTAATTGAAACGGAGAGTGCCTCGCACGCGGCCATGGTCTTCGAGTACGATTTGCGTCGTTGCCGAACGGCTAAAACCATTACAATGTGATACTATATCTGACAGTATATCATACATACATGCTACTCCACTTTACTCAACTATATATCATGCATACATCAAATAATTATAAAACTCTCCCTATATTTTTCAAATTTTCTTATACGCTAGTTTTGGAAGGTGCATGCATAGGGCAGAGTTTAAAAAACTCTTCTCTATATAGAACTCTGCTGTTTTAAAGTCTTTAAACGACCTGATGAAGTCCATCTGTGCACATTATACAACACGAATTTGTTAATATTATAATTATAGGTTTATGGTTGCCGGTATTAATATGCTGATTCCCGTCAAACTAAGTTGAGTAATTAATACCTCATTTGCCGTCTGGCAACATGCACGTTGTTATTACTCCGGCCGCTATACCCGTGTTGTTGCAAATTACTATACTTTCTACAAATGCCGCACCAAAATACATACATACACTATGTTGGAAATGTCATATGTTATTTCGTTGCTGGTAAATGTATTACGACGAGTTGCGTGAAACTGTTAAAATGCATTAACTTCGGTGCATGAAAAGCGCGTCGTTTAAACTTATGTCGAATCTTTCCTGGACAATGTGACATGATTTAGCGAAATTTGTGCCGTGTCGCACGTACTTATTCAAACCTTGCAAGAATTTAATTGATTTAGGCAATTCTACTGCCGCTTTCAATCGTTGTATTATATTCGGCACATATAGGTAAAATTCGCTGTCTAAACTGGTGAGGCATGCAGGTATATTATTTAGATCAATATTATTTGTTTGTTTTGATACAATTGTATTTGTAACATAACGACTCTTAGTTATTCGGCCAGAATAATAAAAGAACTTAAGTGAATTATTTGACACTAAGGGGCCGATTACATGGAGCATTTTCAACCCCGGGGTTGAACTCAGTCCTGTTAACCGGGTTGAATTTTTTTGCGATTACATGGACGATTTCAACCCCGGGGTTAAAACGTTGTACTATACGTTCTCGGCATCGATTCGCGGAAGTAAAGAAGCCTTTATTTTGTTTTCTTGTAATAAATAGTCACTACCACACATGCTCGAATAACTCATGATAATTTCAGCCCTGCATGGGTTGAAACGATTACATGACAAAATTTTCAACCCAGGGCCGAGTTCAACCCCTGGGTTGAAATTTAAACCCTGCTAGCTGAAGCAGGGTTGAAATTTCAACCCCGAGGTTGAACTCAGCCGTTGGTTGAAAATTTTGTCATGTAATCGCGCGTTTGATTTTGATAGAGTTTTGTATTACAGACAGGGCTGAAATTTCAACCCTGTAAACAGGGCTGAGTTCAACCCCGGAGTTGAAAATACTATATGTATTCGGCCCCTAAGCTGACGCAATTAAAAGACGGAAACGGCAAGCTCGCTCAATTTTATTGTTGCAGTATTTCACCGCAACAGTTTCGACTCCGCTCTAAGAAAATTGCAAGAATATTTAATATTGTGAGGGGTGGTGAACTTATATTATACTGCTGTCCGTAATTCTGTAATAGTGTTTTTCAGTTTTAACGTGTTCCAAACTAAATTGGGATTTTCCAGAGTAGCATTTTATCCGCAGAATTTAAAAAAGAAACGTAATTATGCGGACAAGTCGCATTTCTGGCTAAAAAACCTTATTTTCGCGAAAAACCTTCAAATGTAAACACGTTTCGCACAATTACACTATTTAGTTGAAATATTTTCCCACATCAAAGTTCACTGACAAAATACAATCCTTAAAAGGGATTCAGAAAATCTGAACCCTGCAACATAGAATTCCGCAAAATCATGCAAAAATGATAAATCTCGAGACACGGGGTTCAGAATTTCTGACCCCCTTACAAGCCAAAAACTAAAGCGATTTCAGAAGGCTTTAGGCCTCAATATTGTAAAAAGGTGTCAGAAAATCTGAACTCTGCAACATAGAATTCCGCAAAAATCATGCAAAAATGATAAATCTCGAGACACGGGGTTCAGAATTTCTGACCCCCTTACAAGCCAAATACATACTAAAGCGATTTCAGAAGGCTTTAGGCCCCGATATTGTAAAAAGGTGTCAGAAAATCTGAACCCTACAACATGGAATTCTGCAAAATCATGCAAAAATGATAAATCTCGAGACACGGGGTTCAGAATTTCTGACTCCCTTAGAAGCCAAAATACTAAAGTGATTTCTGAAGGCTTTAGGCCCCAATATTGTAAAAAGGTGTCAGAAAATCTGAACCCTGCAACATAGAATTCCGCAAAATCATGCAAAATGATAAATCTCGAGACACGGGGTTCAGAATTTCTGACCCCCTTACAAGCGAAATACATACTAAAGCGATTTCAGAATGCTTTAGGCCCCGATATTGTAAAAAGGTGTCAGAAAATCTGAATCCTGCAACATAGAATTCCTCAAAATCATGCAAAAATGATAAATCTCGAGACACGGGGTCCAGAATTTCTGACCCCCTTACAAGCCAAATACTAAAGTGATTTCTGAAGGCTTTAGGTCTCAAT